AAAAGGAGTGGTTGGGAGCTTCAGTCACCCGCCAGCCTGAAAACGGCCCTCAGTCCCTCAGCCAGACTGGCCAGGCACCCCAGTGGGGACCCCGACCCTGATCCAGGACACCCTTCAGGGCAAACCAGCCGGCCCCCACCCGTGCACCAGGCCTCTATTCTATATAGTAAAAGGGTAATATGCCTCCCAGCACTGGGATCAGCGGAGCCACAAGGCCTCCCGGCACCAGGATCAGCATGATAGGGGGCAGCGCCCAAACCCCCTGATGGCCCTGCGGCTCTGTGTGTGACAGGGTACAGAGCCCCAACCCCCCTAATGGGCCCTGCTCTGTGCGTGACAGGGGGTGGCGCCACAACTTCCCTATCGACCCTGCCTTGAGTGTGACAGGGGGTGGTGCCCCAACCCCCCAATCGGCCCTACCCTGAGCATGACTGAGGGTGGCATCGCAACCTCCCGATCCGCCCTCTTCTGTGCATGACAGGGGGCAGCGCCCCAACTCCCCAATCGGCCCTGCTCTGAGCCCAACCAGGGGCTGCACCTAGGGATTGGGCCTGCCCTCTGCCACCCGGGAGCAGGCCTAAGCCAGCAGGTCATTATCTCCTGAGGGGTCCCAGACTGCAAGAGGGCACAGGATGGGCTGAGGGACCCCCTCTCCCCCCCAAGTGCACAAATTTTTGTGCACCGGGCCTCTAGTCCTATATAATAAAGAGGTAATATGCAAATTAACCCTCACACCCTCACAAGATGGCTGCCTACAACCAGGCTGGCAAGGGGGTTAGTGAGGGATGACCAAACGACTGAACAGCAGGCTGCGTGGGGCAACCAGGCCAGCAGGGGGGTCTGTGATGGGCGACCAGTCCAGCAGGGTGGGCAGTTAGGAGCAACCAGGTCAGCGGGGGTGGGGTGGAGCAGTTGGGGGTGACCAGGCCGGCAGGGGGGGCAGTTAGGGGCAATCAGGCTAGCACACAGAGGCAGTGAGGAGTGATCAAGCTGGCAGGGGGCGGCAGTTAGTGGCAACCAGGCAGGCAGGCAGGTGAGTGATTAGGAACCAGTGGTCCAGGATTGTGAGAGGGATGTCCTACTGCCGTTTTAGTCCTGATCCCCGGCAGTTGGACATCCCCCGAGGGGTCCCGGATTGGAGAGGTGGAGAGGGTGCAGGCTGGGCTGATCTCCTCCCTCCCCCCCGTGCATGAATTTTATGCACCGGGGCTCTAGTATGATAATAAAAGCTAATGTTCATTAGCAGCTTATAATGTACCAGATACTGTCTGTCTTAAGTGCTTTGAATGTATTAATTTATTCAATCTTTATCTTTCTATAAAGCACACTATGTAATTACCTTCACTTTTTGAGGATCAAAGAAACTGAGGTTTAAGAAAAGTTTGTAACTTAGTGAAGGTCACATAGCTACTGGACAGGGAATAGAACCTGGAAGTCTGAGGTAAGTCTGTCACTTAACTAGATCTCTGTGTCACTTCTCCTAATGAAACAAAGCCCCTCTCTTCCAGGTCATTTTGGTTTAATAAAGAAAAAGTATATGTGCTATCATTCTTTGATATGACTACACAAGTTGTGCTGCTGTACTAGACTAAATACTAGCAAAAGGAGAAGGAAACATGACAGACTATAGCTGAATGTGACCAGATTTTTGTACCTGTGCAAGGTCATGCATTCATTTTTACTGACCCTGCATCATTGTAGCCAGATAAGTAATTTTACTCCCATGTTCTAGAATTAAAATAATCCAGTCTTACTAATTATGTGTTTGCTTAAACATTATCAAGACACTACGAATGTAAATTAATTATTAATCTATCACCATAAATCTTTTGTTAGGTTCTACTTATGGAAATCTCCTTATAATAAATGATTATCATTTGTTTTCTTTAAAAGTAACAATATGCGCTATTTAGAATGTAGATATTTTTACTCCACTTTGCAAATTTTGACTGTTCTATTTTAACTGTTCAAAGTACTCACCCATGAAAATGTTTCAATGTCTGTGGATTTTATGTTTAAAATTGCCTTTGGGAATTTCCATCGGCAAATTAATCAGGAAATATGACTATGCCTAAAATGTAGTATTTTGACAATCTAAATTTTGATTTAAATCCAAAATTAAATAAGTGTATGGTTCTTTGTAAGCTTGACCAAGTCATCCAGAGTACCAGATGCTTAATTGTGAAGCTGAAGGGATCTAAGATGATCTGTTCCCTTCCTTCATTTACAGGAATAGGCCGGGGTCAGGTCTGAGGTCCGTGTGTTCAGGTCCAGTGCCCTCCTGAAGCCTAATGGATGGTCAGAATGCTATTGGTTAAACTACATACTTCTTGGGTCATGAGAAAGCTGACATCACTTTAATTTCCTAATAAATTTCTTGCCTCAGCATACCCTTTATCTCCCTAGAATGAAGACTTGTACTTTGCTTCTAGGTCTACATTAAGAGAAACTCAACCATTGACATTTTAAGGACTTAACTGCCCTGCTATAAATAGCACTTGTAACAGCATTATATTTGTCATGCCTTGAGAAGTGCATAAATTGTTAGGATTGACCTAAACTGTAAAAAATGTCAAATGCAGAGGGTTGAAAATAGGTTGTGTAGCCAATGTATCAAAATGTGTCCTACTTACAAATTCAGTTTCTTTCTTAATAACCCCCCCAAAAAGAAACAAACTTTCCTAAAATTAATGTGAATTTGTGATGTTTGTCTACCCTTACATTTTCTGAATTTAAAATGATCCTCTTTTAGAGGCTGCAAAATTCTCCAGCTTCACATCTAGGTTTTACATATTTCCAATAGCTCAACTCTTATTCAAAAGAAAATGTGAGATCTCATCAATAGAAACCCTCGGTGGATGTTAGGCAGAGAAATTCAAAATATAAATGATACAGAACAATATCTAAATTTTTTTTTAAATATGAGAAATCAACTTCAAGTTTATTTATAGCCTTAAAGTAATTTAGGTCCTAGAGGGTAGACTGGCTAATTTCCCCATTCTATTAGATTCAATGATATCTTTATTTTTGTGCTGCAAATTTCAAGAAGCTTGTTTCCAATCAGGCCAGAAAAAGCAGGCAATGATCAACTGGCAAAAAAAGAAAGGAAATTTCTGGGCCGTATCTCATGGGAAATGTAAATGATGGATGATGGTGTGGTTTGGATTCTGTGACTTTCCTAGGATTCTGTGATTTCCCTAGGATTCTGTGAGATTCTACATAATGTGTAGGAGGAAAATATCCTTCTGTCCTTAGGTCCTGTAGCTGGGCCTGAAAATTAACCTGGCATATGACATTAATAGGAGAAACGCATACAAAATTTAATTAATATTTTATGTGTACCTGGGAGTCTTCAGAAGAAAAATGAAGACCCAAATAAACCATTACGCCCCAAAGCTTATATACCTTTTTAAACAAAGAAGAATAAATTATAAGGATGTGGCAAGAAAAGGGGCTTAGGCTCGAGCCAATTAATTGAGGCAGTGATTAGAAAGTATTTAGGGGAAACTACTTGAAGTTAAGGGTGGTTTTAGTAGATTTGTTTGTTCAGGTTCCTACTCCCATTTGGCACCAGTTTTGATAATAAGAATGTTGTCATTCTCTTCCTTGGTGCAGAGAGGGCACCTTTTTCATGGGAAGTTTTATGACCTCCTTGGAGATAGAATGGGGAGGTCGGTGAGCCCTTCCTGAATCAGGTTTTCTCAGGTGCCCGCAGCTCAAAATACTCAACCAAAGAGTCATGTGTGGATGGCATGTTCTGAACCCCTTCAACATTAATGTACTGCTCACATTGGATTGGCAAAGTGCTTCGTGAATTGTAATGAGATATGTAATCCACAGAGCTTGCTTGCAGTAAGCCTGTGAGGAATGAGAGTGTTGCCTTTGTAAACTACCCAGGTAAGTCCCATGTTCTTAAATCCTTGTGCGACAAAAAACAAAGCAGTGCGACAACAGACAAAGGAGTATGTCTGTTAAAGGTGGCATTATGCTCAACTATGAAGATACTTGCAATTTATTGATCATTTTTTTTCAGGATAATTTAAATGTCTTTATCATACTTTCACATTCACATAATGTAGTAGTTTGAAATGGCTCCTTATTTTCCTGTTGAAAGAAATGAATGCAATGTAAATATAGTCAATCCTCATTATTCACAGTAGCTCTGTTGTTTAAAGCTGCCATGAACACTGAGTAAGCAAATGGAGAACCATTGCTTCTAGGGGAAATGTAGGCTTGGGTTCTTGCAGCATCTGGTCATACATTTTTGTCATCCAATCAATATATAAACTTGCTTTGTTTGTGTTTCTGTTTAACAATACCTTCCTTAGTACATATTGTTGATTCATTAACATTGAAGTCAAGGTCAACAGCACTATAGCTCTTGCCTGATCAAAGCTTACCTAACACAGATATTTTCTCCATAAGGCACATAACAGCTTCTTTGTGCTTGGGAACACAAGAAAACACTTCAGCATCATGCTTGGGAGAGAGACATCTTGAACAGTGAAAACATCCATAACAAGCCCCCAAAATCGAAAAAACAAAACAAAACCGTGGCCCTAAATAGATCACGAATGGACATGTTTTTACAGGATGAGAACTGACACAAGAGTGCAGGACATTGCCTTGTCGGACCTCAGCTGGGAATGTGAGCTTCAGGTGTCTCTGCAGCTGTAGGTGAATGATAACAAAAGCACCTGAGTGTTGATGCTGGGACTGTAAGTACATTTTAGTGAGAAGGGAAATTTGCAGATACAATTTCTGACAGTAATGAAGGATCAGCTGTACCTGTTAATTGTTAATACTTTTTAAAACATATATATTTCCTTGTCCAGCTGGTGTTGCTCAGTGGTTGAGCATCCACACCTATGAACCAGGAGGTCACATTTTTTTTTTTTGAGGGAGAAAAAATTCTTTATTGATAAATAGGTTACAGTAAAATAAAGTGATGTTTTTTGGGGAATAAAAACTCTGAGTCTTAGTGTCTCTCCACCCCGCCTCTAGCTCTTGATTTCTGCCTTCACTCTGGTCTCTTTGGATGATGAGGCCTTGGTGGACATGCCAGGCCTTCTTGGGCCCCTGGGGACCTCTGTCTTCCTGGGCAGTGGTTCAGGTACCATCTTGGACTCGCTGTCCTTAGGAGCAGCAGCAGCTGTGGCTTTCGACCCTTTCCTGGCCCCCTGGGCAGTGGCCTCTTTAAGGACCTTGTTCCCTGTCTTCTTTTTGGCCGGGGAGGTCACACCATTTTCACCCCTGGTGACTGTGGGTTTTGAGCTCCGAGTCCCAGCCTTGGTTTTCCTGTGGGCCTTGGCATCTGCTGGGCTGTCCTTCTTGCCTTTAACCTTTGACTTCCCATGGGGCCCGCTGGCATCAGCAGGGGCCTCTGTGGCCTTGTCTGGCTGTTGGGGGGCCTTCCTGGCCTTGCCCCCTCTTGCCTATTCGCCTTTGGTCTGGCCATCTTTCTTGGGGGCCTCCTCCTTGGCCTCACCAGGTCTCCCGGGGGCCGACACGGTGGCTGTCTTCCAGGGCTGGATTTTTTTCTTTTGCTTTGGAACTAACTTGAAGCTGCCAGTGGCCCCCCAGGCTCTGGAGTTGATGGGCCTGATGAGGAGGCCGCGCTGCATGCCCGTGTCCAGGGCCCGCTTCAGCAGGTACTTGAGCCGGATGGCGTCCACCGTAGGGTACTTCCGCAGGATGTACACCTTGATGGCCATAACCGAGGTGCCCCCGGCTGCTCGCCCACCTGCACCACCTCCAGCACCATTCGCAGCATCGGGGGGTTGCTGCGTGGTGGTGGGACGGCATGTTGTCACGGGTCTGGCTTGAGAGTCCCAGACCATCTAGAGGTGGAGGCCATGGAGGTTAGCGAGGCCAAGGAGATCAAGGTGTCACTGGAGGCCAAGCTTCCAGGAGCCATTGCAGGCTGACACAGATGCAGAGATCAGGAGGTCACATTTTTATTCTTAGTCAGGGCACATGCCTGGGATGTGGGGTCAATCCCTGGTGGGGGGCATGCCGGAGGCAGCCAATTGATGATTTTCTCTCGTCATTGATGTATCTATCTCTCCCTCTCCCTTTCTCTCTGAAATCAATACACATATATTTTATATATATTTCCTTTTTAGAAAGTTTTCTTATATCTCAAATCTCAGAGTGATAAATATACTGTATCTTTGGATCATATGATACCATTAAATTTTTTTCTTAAACATCCATTCTTTATTCATTTAGCACTAACCAACTTGTTTTCTAGAGAATTTCCCTTTTGAGAAATAAAATTTCTTGCAGATGCTTACTGCAGTAATTCACAGGTAAATTATATGATGGAAAATTTAATTTTTTGGACATTATGATCTATTTAGTCATATTTTACAGTATCCAAGTTTAAAGAGATATGAAAATAAAACATATCTGGGGGTACTAGATAGCAGCCTCTGTTTAGCATTAAAAATTTGGGAGATTTCATTAAAATGTTGGGTTTCTGACCCTTAAATATTGAATGTGTGATCACTGGGGTGTACACCTGAACCTAAAATAATATTGTATGTCAATTGAAAAATAAAAAATACTGAATGTTTGAATAACTTCAGATATGCTGCATAGCTTCAGTTTGCCACAGGCGGATAAAGACTACCTCCCTTATGCCCAAAAATATATCCCAAACACGTCCTATTGTTCTCTATTATCAATAGTTTCTCTATTATCAAGAAGTTTCTAAGCTAGTAACTTAGCACCTTTCCCTGCTGATTTTTTAACCAAGGATAAAGATATGCTACCCATATCTTTATCAAAGGGAGAAAGTGAAAGGCAGATCAATGGTTTTTATGAGACAGCACCACTGATTTGTATGAACTGCTTGTCCCCTCTGAGCATTCAAGTTGTAATTTCAGGAGCTTCCAATTATTTTAGCCCTGTCAGGATTAGTTATCTGCATTGCTCATTCACGAAAAATGAATTAATCCAGCGGCTCACCAGGGCCTCAGTGGGCGTGCGTGTGTCCTGAAGTAATGGATAGCACACCCAAATTCACAGTGAATCCGATTCCCTCCAGTGCCCAAGTCAGCAAGGTGTGTTGATGGCCGGGCCACAGAGTATCATTTAGTGTTTTACCAGACAGGACCCAACCACTGTAGCAGACAGGAGAGAGTACATTGTGTCACAATCTGTATACATTCTGAGCTTTAGGAATCGTATTTTATAGTTGAGGTAGAAGATTCACCCAAAGGTATGTGAAATTAACAAAAAAATCAGGTGAAGCTGTAATGGACTACATCCCTGCATAAACTCAAAACTTCCAAAGCACTTGTGGACCATTCCCTCTCACTCATGTGGACAGTTTCTCTTTTCCTCAGTATTATGTAAATTACCATGAAAACAGGGCCTCAAAAACAAGTTCCTAAATCAAATTACCATATTTTAGCCTATGTATTATCAAAATTTGGCCCCAACACAAACAGTGTTTTACATGGAACTAGAAACAGAAGCTTAACTGAATAGTAATAAAAAAAATAGCTGAAATTACTGTTAGGAATAATTAATATCAAAAGGCATTCTGGGGCTTTCATGAATGTCTGATTTCTTTCCTTATCTGTAGAATATTAAATTGGGATTTATAATATCAGATAGGCTTTTACCTAAAAGAAATCTAGATTTTGTATGGTCAAAAGTTGTAGAGGTATTTTCAATAAATAGCTATTTTATCATAGAGAAGTCAAGTCTAATTTATTTGAGTTTTTGGTTAAGAAAATAAAAATAGCTTCCATATAGATTTCCTACAAATATATTTTATGCTAATTTTCAGAAATTGCTTATTATGCCTGCATTATCAGATGTATTAGAGCTATAATCCTGCTCAGAGGTAGATCACTCTGATTTTATGATATCCTATGGTGTGTGTGTGTGTGTGTGTGTGTGTGTGTATGTGTGTGTTACCATGGAGGGGGGCAGAGAGAACCTTAATGGTTTTCTTTTTATATTTTCATGTTTAAAAATTACTAATATTTCCTTGTATTTTGCCCAAGTGAGCCAACCACATGATTAGGCAGTCACAACTACTCATATATTATAGATTTTCATGAAATAACACAATAATAAAAATATATATCAGTAAGGCCATCTTTGTTCTTCATTGGATAATATAAAATATCAATAAATATCTCAAGTTAGGGTAAAATTACTTGGTTAAAATATGCCTAAAACTTAGTAACTTTAGTCTGAGGTAAGTTTTTCTTAAATATATTCAATTAAAAGGAAAATGTATATTTTGTATTTAAACTCATGCTAAAGTTAATATTTTAGTCTTTTACTTTTAAGTAAATAAATCCAGTATGACTATAGTAAAAATATTTAATGTTTTAAGCTATGTATTCATATAGAACCCCACACTGGTAATATTTATATAAATGCATGCCACTAAGTCATGCCTACGTCTGCACCCTTAGAGAGTAGCCTGCATTATACTAGATATGGTTTTGACGGAAAATAAGAACAATAGAATTTTCTTTTGCCTGGTTTCAAACACCAACTATATTTAGATCAGCTTAAGAAGTGTTTATTGTGCCAGAAATACAAGATGGAACAATGCAGAGTCAGTACCTTAAGAAAGCTTAAAGCCCACAGAGGAAATTGGTCGAATAGAGAGATCATCCTATCTAATAAAGAGGGAATATGCTGATTGATTGCCCTGCCCTCAAAGATGGCAGTGCCCACAGCCACAAGATGGCGGCGCCCAGTCCCCTCAGCCCCACTGGAGTGGCAGACTCACCACAATGCCAGGCCCGCCTCCAGGCAGACCCGGCTGCTCCATGCCCCTTCCTCCAGAATGCCCCAGTCCCCTCAGCCCCCAGCCGCCCAGGGCCAGGGCTGGCCCGAGGTGCAGGCAAGTCTCGGATGGCAGCTGCCCAGCCATGCAGGGCCGCCTGAGGCTCAAGTAAATAGGGCAAGCCGGGCTGAGGTACCCCGCCCCCTCCAGTGCATGAATTTTCATGCACCGGGCCTCTAGTTTCCATATAAGATGAGAGGGGATACAGAAATGTGTGCAAGGGTACCATGGACAACAAGCAGGAGTGTTTCCTATACTGAAGCTTTTCTGGTAGGTGAGGCTTGGGGGATGTTAAACTAGATTTTTAAAATAGCTGTTTGTTCAAGGAAATGAGCATAGCATGAGGGAAGGCACTAGGTGAAGTTAGCAAGGGATTTCGTCATTTCACAGTCATTAGCACATAAAGAGAAAGATGAACTAAAATATGAGGGTGAGGGAGAAGGCAGGAGGTCTGCCATTGAGGGCCTTGCAGGCCATACTGAAGAGCTTTCAGAAAAAAAAAAGTTTATTTTTGAAAGATCTTTCTGTGTGGAGGATAGATTCAAGGAAAATTATACTGGGAGATGGAAATTGTCCATTAATAATGTTAATGCAATAGCCAGTGTGTGAGATGATGGTAGCCTGTTGGTAGTATATGTAAAAAGTAAGCTTTGTGTTTGAAAAATATAGACATGCTGAATTTCACAGGACAGCATGTGAGGAAGGGAGGGGCTAAATAAAGTCCCAGATCTCTGTCCTGAGACAGGAGCAATGGGGCCAGAGAAAGAATCAAACATTGGACAAGTCGAGTTAGATATGCCTGTGGAAGGTCCATGCAGATCAGTCATCCGGGTAATTAGATATTGGAGTCCAAATTTTATGGGCGAATGAAATCAGACTTCTCTGATATTCTCCTTGTTCTAATATAACTTGTCAAGCACTTACGAGCAAAACAACACATTGTAAGGAGAAATATTGCATAAAATGTGAGATGCTGACCTTCATGAAAGGGTTTTTAAGGTTTTTGTTTTTTTATTTTTCTTAAAGTAGAAGTGATTTTCAGACTCTCTAGATAATTTTTTAAAGGATTTAAATATAGACAACAATATGGTGATTACCAGAGGGAATGGGGAAAGGGGAAGTAGAAGAAGGTAAAGGGGTGATAAGTGGTGATGGAAGAAGACTTGGCTTTGTGGTGAACACACAAACCTATATAATCCTATAGGTTTATATAGGTTTGAAACCTATATAATCCTATTAACCAATTAATTCAATAAAATTTTAAATAAATAAATAGGTGAATAGATAAAAGGATTTAAAGAAAGCTCATTTGGTGTTGTTACTCTAAATTAGCTGTTATTAACATTTTGAAATCTATTTAACTATTTATTTAGGTTTAAACCACAGATACTACTGTATTGAAATAAAAAGCAGGGGTTTGAAGAAAAAAATCAGATCCTAACTGTGTGCAGAAGAGATGAGATAGACAGTGTTTCGCCAGAGTTAATGTCTGTCAAGTACATATTACCAAGTCAAATAATAATGTTATGAATTTTCCCTATCAGCACAAAAATGTAGTTTGATATTCTCATTCTTTTGATCTGACAATTAAATCCTCTGATATATGAGTGGTTGTGGTACTTTAATGTATTTAATTAGTAATCAGTAACCCCTTAAATAAACTCATGGTTTATGCAAAAACATTTGATTAAAATGAAAAGTGTTTCAAATCATAGCAAATAATTGTGAAATAGATTACTAAGAAACATTTTATTATGTTTTTATTTCTTTCAGTAATCAATTTATTTGTGTGGAAGAATATATCATAGAGGTGCATAACAATTACATTTATTTGTAGGAAATGTATCCTTTGCTTTATCAAAAGCAAATTGAACAAACAAACAAAAACCTGCTGGCTTCTCAGTACTATTCTACAGTAAAAGGAATAGGGGCTCCTTGGAAAAATGTCTGATTCCAGATCTGGGGAAGGGGAAATTCAAGATGAGCGTGGAGAATCTTGAAGTGCCAAAAAGTGAGAGAAAGACAAGAGAGAGAAGAGAAATGAGGAGGGGTGAAGGCAGAGGAGCAGGAGGAGGCAAGGTATAGAGGAACCCATCTGAAAGAGCTCCCAATAGCTACAGCTAGAATGTTTTTAATAAAGACATATTGGATTAAATTCAAAGAATGCAATGAAGATGAAGACATCTATAATGCTATAAATAAATAATTGAATAAATGAATACATGAATGAATGGATGAATAAATGAATGAATAGAACCCATTTTTCTTACAAAAAAATTCCAAGTAATATATGTAGACATTTCCCCTTCCAGGAGGTGCAGATTAATTCCCCTTACCTTAATTATGGGCTAGGTTATGGTGACTAATTTCCACAGGAAAGAATACAGAAAGGGAAAATAGTGACTTTACAGTAAAGAAATAAGCAGACATCACCCTCATCAACATCACTAGTGAGAAGTCATGTTCAAATTGTGCTTGCCCTGATGGGAGATGATAAGAAGGATACCACAATGTGTGGTATTTTTCCTAAACAACAGAGACACCAGTCTAGTCCTAAAAAAAACTTCATACCAACCCAAGCTGAGGAAGATTCTACAAAATACCTGACAGGTAGTTCTTGAAGGGTCAAAGTTACGAAGGACAAGGAAAGACTGAGAAAATGCTACAGATTAGAGGAGGCTGATGAAACGGGGTGACTGAATGCAATGTGAGAATCTTGATTGGATCCTGGAATAGAAAAAAAAGACATTTGTGGAAAGTGGTCTGTATTTCAGTGAATCATTACCCCTAAGTTAATGTCTTAGATGTGACAAATGTACCAGGTTGTGGAAAATGTTAATGTTAGAGGAAGTTGGGTAAAGGATATATGTACCTTGGTGCATGAAGGTCAATAAAACATATTAATCAGCTATAATATAGAGGTTTCCTACATTATAAATTTTGAGCTATCATTATGCATTTTGAAATATAATCAAATGAAATAACATTCTCCTCTCTCCCTCTTTCATATATATGTACATATGCGTTTATGCACACACACACACACACACACACACAATTCATGGATTATTCCATAAACTAGATAGATAAGTAAATGTATAAAATCTAGAAAGATACACACTAATATATTACTCATTAACATTGGTGAGCTCTTGTGTTTGGGCATTCTTTATTATATTTTTTTAATTTCTTATCAACAATAAGCATGTATTATATTTTTTAAATATAGCAATGGTACTTTTAAATATTAAAATCTTTAGATGGTAAAAAACTTCTCCAAAATATCTTATCCAAATTCATAAAGTAGACTATGTAACAATGGGAAAAAAAAGAGCTTTCTACCATGTTATTTGAGAAGTGGGCACATTACCAGCTCTCAGAGTTATTGTTAGAAACAAAACTGTGGAAGCACTATGATTTTGCATTCACTTTTTGACTAGCTATTATTGCTGTTCAGATTGCTTAAACAGTTCCACCATGCAGGTTTAATCACTGCACAGAAAACTTAATTCTAGGGAGTGATACACAATCAGGGTAATGGGGTGAAAAATGGTGGCTTGTCCCCAAATAACCACAACATATTATTAGATGTCAAATAAAATCTTAATGTATTTTTGTAGGAAATAAAACTAAATTCTGGGTGTTTAAATACCTCAGACTCTCTTAAAAGTGTATGGTATGTGTTCATGTATACATTGTATAACATAGATAATCTCCAGGAATTTTGTAATTTCAAGGTCAACTCTAAGATCACAGTCACACACTGATGTGTGAAAGCAATTAACCCATTGAAAAAGGATCACCTTTCATTGCTTAATGAGAGAGAACTGAGTTGCAAAGCATTTTGTCAGTGTTTCCGCTAACCACTGACCATTGTAAGATGAGGCTTGGTGGCTTGAATAGCATCCCTTCATGTTTTGTTAATATCATAGGACTGACTGTCTGAAGAAAAAAAAAACTATTCCCATCTTTCTGTCACTTTTTTCTTTGCTTTAAATGCAAGGAAGAGAGACATCAACATTTGCATAAGTCACTATTCTATACCTAAAACTGAATGTAGATTTTGATTTAGGAGAAGATAGAGGAGGGATAAATTCTTGCTTCTATCTAAGCTCAGAGAACATGAATGGGAAATATGTTATGTCAATTAATATATATCGAAGATGTATAAAACCATGATGTGTCTGTTGTTCAACTGTCACTGATATAAAATTGAGTGCCGATTTACTTTCTAGAATTCAGAATTTATCCCTTCCTTCCGACTTTTCCCTTCTGAACTTTTCAAGACAAAAAATGATATCTACTAACTATTGGATTATCATCAGATTTCACTTTTTCTCCCTTTTATCTTTCATCACAGATGATAAAGATATTTTACTTGGAATTCATCTGGGACAGCATAGTTGATTAAGCTCAAGTCTAATTGCCTTTGCAGTGCCAGCAGAAACCAAAATTTAATGGCTGTTTTTCCCCATAGTAAAATAAACCTCTGTGAGTCATAGTCTCAGAGAAGAGAATTCTGTAGATTAAGAAAGTCTTTTTATGGACAGTAAAGAACATTATTAGAATTATAATTTAAATGTCAAAGTTAATTTTTTCTCTCTGAACTTTTTAGAATACAGGAATTCTCTAAACTATTTTTTTAAAACGCAAATATTTGATATAATAGGGTAAACATGTTTAAATGGTTCAAAATCTATCAATGATTTGAAGGAAGAACATAGATTTTCTTTTTAAATTTAATTTTATACATATATATATTAATTTTTATTGAACTTATTAGGGTGAAATTGGTTAATAGATTATACAAGTTTCAGGTGTACAATTCTGTATTGTGTTCATCACCCAAAGTCAAGTCTCCTTCTGTCACCCTTACCCCAAATTCAGAGACAGTATTGTGACTCTAAAGTAATTAGAGCTATCCAGTTTGACTAGGTTTGCTATGATTTCAAATTAAAAGCCAAATAAGTGGATTTAAAAAATACTTTTAATGACAAAATTCTAATTATGAGAACTAAACTTCTATTTTGTGCTCAAAGCTTGATCCTTGGATTGGAAAGGCACTGACCAATATGGCATAATAAATTAGATCATTCCATTTCCATTTCAGGGATGCATTATGTAGCAGCTATAAAACAAATCCCCACCATCACCTTCTTTTGAGGATGGTGACAAAATTGTCTATACTTCTAAAAACTTTATATAATTTTGTCTCCATTGAAATTCCCTAAAATCAAATTAGAACTTTTATAGTCACAATATAGACTAGATATTTGTTCTCTTAACTCATTTATGGCTAAGGCTCACTGTAGTCAAAAGGATGAGTAGCCAGATTTTCCATTCTAAAGGCAGGGAGCCAACATGAAAATGCAGACAGATGTGAGGCCCAGGAGCAAATGGTAAAAAGCTTCTTTAAGTTCAATTAGCTATAAACTCAGAGTACTACCATGAAGTTTACTCAAAAAGTAGTAAGATATAAAAAACATTAGAAGCTGAATATATCACCAAACCCTGAATTCAAGTGCTTTCATGCTTTTGTCAAAGGAAAGCTAATTTGTGAGTAAAATGTGAATTTTAAAATCATAAGAATTAGCCTCATTTAAAAAAGAAGACATTAAGATTTCATTATACTGCAGGAATTAATTTTTTTACTTATTTCAAATATACTCTAGACTCCCACATAAAAATTTGAAGTATATAAATCATTGATGGCATTTATGTTAATCAACATAATTATAATTGAAGGCCATTATTTTTTAAAATATATTTTTATTGATTTCAGAGAGGAAGGGAGAGGGAGAGAGAGATAGAGATATCAATGATGAGAGAGAATCATTGATTGGCTGCCTCCTGCATACCCCCTACTGGGGATTAAGCCCACAACCTGTGCAGGTGCCCCAACTAGGAATCCAACTGTGACCCCCTTGTCTTCTTGGTTCATAGGTAGATACTCAACACTGAGCCACAGGGGCAGGCCTGAAGACCATTCTTTATGACTACTTCCAATACAATTCACACAGGACACACAATAAATCAAAAGAAGAACTAGGACAAGAATTCAGGACTCCATATTTCTCAGAATAAAACACTTCTTTCTTATTTTTTTTTCTGTGCAGACAATGGTTGGAAATAGATGTACTTCACACTGGATGGCAACATACAAAAACTGAACTATAATGTGTTTGTTTTTCTTATTTCAGGGGCTGATGTTATCAACTTTGATGGCCATGTTGTGTTGCCATATAGATTCAGAAACAAGAAGATGAAAACACTGAAAGATGTCATTGCCTTGAAATTTAAAACCACCGAGAGTGAAGGGGTGATCTTACACGGGGAAGGACAGCAAGGTGATTACATTACATTGGAACTGAAAAAAGCCAAACTGGTCTTCAGTTTAAACCTAGGTATGTTCCAACTTTCGGCATCATCCTTTCCATTAATATTTCCATTAGAGAAGTATTAATGTTGTTTAACCTTAAAAATGTAAATTATTAAAAAAAAAGTTTACTTTGTTCTCAGTTCAGTTTAACCCACAGTGGTTTGCATATATTGATATATTGATATACTTATTCATTCAAAAAATATTGCAAAGCACCTGTATTGTACAAGGTGTATATTAGCATCTGAATACAGTGGTGAACAAATAGAGAAGGACCTCGGGGTCATAAAGTTTATGCCCTAGTGGAGGAGTAAGGTAGTGTCTTACGTGTTGTTATCTTAAAATAACTAAGTCAAAAGAAATGATGCCAAATAATAAGTATAGTTGACCTTTGAACAACATGCAAACCCTCCCACAGTGGAAAATCCACATATAGCTTTTGACTATAGTCAGCTCTTTGCATCTGCAAATTCAACCAACCATGGATTAAAAACAGTATTTTCTATTGGAGGTTGGGAATGTGAGGTAGGAAATCCGAGGTTGGAATTTAATGTTAGGAATGCTAAAATTTGTTTTCTATTCATGATTGGTTGAGTCCAGGAATACAAAGAGTTGACTGCATTCAGTGAGTGAGCCTTCATATAAGTGAGCCCACCAAGTTCAACCATAGTATGAAATCAGTTAAATGGGTTAATATAATTCTGCAGAGGTAAGAGGGGTCAATATTGGAATATGTACTGAGAAAGGTCCTCTACAAGATGTTCAAGTTGCTATCAATGACAAAAGACAACCATGGGAGAAGAGCTTTTAAAGGAAGCAGTCACTACAGACAGAGCCCTTCCTTGCTGTTCCTTGAGCAAGGAAGATGATGTAGATCAGTGATTCCCAAAGTGGGTGCTACCACCCCCTGGTAGGTGCTGCAGCGATCCGGAATATGTACTGAGAAAGATCCGCCACAGGTGCATTTGGGGGCGATGAGTAACTGCTATTAAAATTTAAAAAAAATTAATTTCCAGGGGCTGAGTAATATTTTTTCTGGAAAGGGGGCGGTAGGCCAAATAAGTTTGGGAACCACTGATGTAGATAGAAGCAGTGAGTAATTGAGAGAGAAGATGAAATCCAAAAGTTAAGAATTGTTCAAATCTGTAAGAACCTGGAGAGCAGGGGTGTGGAACCGTTTTTCTGCCAAGGGCTATTTGGATATTTATAACATCATTTGTGGGCCATACAAAATAATCAACTTAAAAATTAGCCTGCTAAATTTAGGAAAAAAATTAAACTAACTCAGCCCTAATGTGTTGACAGGGCTAGACTAAAAGATTTTACAGGCCTTATGCAGCCCATGAGCAGAACATTCCCCACCCCTGCTGTAGAGCATGGCACAGGGTTAGATACTATTTTTTAAGCATGAGAAGTTTACTGAGACCTCTATAAAGATAATGGTTCCATCCACATGAGAGTTGAAGATGGACTTCTCAGGTACAAGATGAGCTGGCTCTGTCTTTCAGAAGGCGGCTGTCAGTGGAGATGCAGAAAAATAGGTCCACTGTGGAGATGATTTTAGTGGCACTTTCAGCATGATTTGTAATGAATTGGGTGTTTAGTAAGAAAGGAAGAGATTAAGTAAAAGGTAATTCCTAGGATATGACTTTGGTGCCATTTTCAGAACTAGAGAAAGCTCTATTTTCTCTGTAGAGGAACATTAGTTTAGAGGATCATTCATTTCCTAGACATTTCCTCTAGGAACCGCAGACTTCTGTGTTTGGACAGGGTGCATTTTAGTTGCTGATTGATCATCAAAGTTGAGATTTCTCTTAGAGTGGCATGCCTGAGATTGACAGAAAACGGTGCTGATTGGAGACTAAGAAGGGGGCAATGGATAGGAGGAAATAAGAATATGTGATGTCAGAGACGAGGAAAAGAAAATTGGTGGTTACTGTGTTGAAGTCTCTTAAAATGTCACATAAGAAGACAGAAAAGGGAGGTTACTGTTTAGCAACATAGAGGTTACTGGTGATTTACTCTCAGAATAATATGCATGTAATATAAAAAAAGCTGTCTGGACAGAAATAGACGGCACTCTTTACAGTGATGGAAATAGGTGCTAATGTTTTACATATAAATTCTTCATAATATTCTCTACTCTTATTATTGAACACGTATTTATGTGTTACCTAGGAGAAAATTAGCCCTAAATAATTTTTGAAACAAGGTTCAATAGGAGTTAAAAAGACAATATACAAATGATGTATCATAGAAAATTATACATTTGAAACCTATATCATTTTAATGAAAAAAAAATGAAGTTAATAAGGAGGAAATGGGGAGAGAAACACAGGAAGCATGTAAGTTATTTTTAAAAATACACACACACAGCAACTGGATTATATCTTTAAAAGTTTATATTTTCAAACTTTTTTCTTAAAAAATGTGAAACATACAGAGCCACTATGCGTTTACAAAGGTGTGGCATTACATTACTGTTCTGAAACAAGTAATTGCTCATATGACCACACACACACACACACACACACACACACACACACACACACACACACACACACGATCAGTACCATTTCCCTGGATGGCAGTTTACTTAAGGTCTTTTATTGACTGACTAAAGTTTATGGCTGCCATGGAAACAGTCACTCATGCACTGTCCCTTTTTAAGGCCATTACCTAAATATCAGGTACATCTAGCTGCCGCTTAGTGTTCTAGTCTAACTACTTAAATAAAACTTAATGTAGCCTTTCACCTGGAATTATTATTTCTTTTCTTCTCCTTTCCTCCTCCACGTACACCCACAATCATCATATTTGATTGCATCACCAAAAGAAGAACATTTGATCTAGGAAATACATAAAAATGTCAGATATAGGTATCATTAGCACCTTAAATATGGAAAAAAGGGGAAATAATTTAATTATTCAGGCATTCCTGTGTTTTTCTTATTTTTATTATGCTTTTCATTCTGAAACAATATTATATTTTTATAGCATTTATTTTTGCCTGACCATAAAAAGCAACATTTCACTTGACAAAATAGAAAGTGGTATAAAGTATATACACAGCATTCCCAGATGACCTTAGTAAACATTTTGAATTCTCACAGCCTTTCCCTCTTATTTGTAGTCTTATTTCTATGGAGATCTTATTTCAAAACTAGATGAAAGCAACATATATATTTTTGCAGGTTTTTATTTTAAAGTGTGACTTCTATACTTTTTCATGTCACTAAATATTGCATTGTGCTTAAGATTATGGTACTTGGATTCAGAGGAAATTGACAATTGTCATTCTGCATTTTCTTGACCGAAAATAACAACACTAACCTCAATAATAACAGACTGTTAACAGGTACTATTTAATGAATATTCACTGAATGCCAGGAAGTGTGCTAGGGTCTTTGCATGTACTAAGTAATGTAATCCCCACAGCAACCTTGTAAAGCAGGGACTATCATTTTCACTTTTTTACATCTGAAGAAACAGAGACCCAGAGAAGTTGTCAACTTGCCCAGCATCATTGAACATCAGAAGCTAGGCCCTCTGGCTTCAGAGCTCATGGGACACTGACTTCAACAGGAACCTAAATTTTTTAAAGCTCATTATTTTTAAGGGAACAGATATTTTCATCTTTACTAGCTTTTATGTACTTTGAAAATAAAACTTTTTAAGTATAGTCACATGCTGGTTTTCCCTATAGCAACCTCAGTAGACAAAGCATCAACTCATAGTGGGTTTTTTAAAATTTATTTTTATTGTTGAGAGTCTTACAGATATTTCCCATCCTCTCCCCCCCCCCCCATGTTAGTCCCCCTTCAATGAGCTCCTGCCCGACCCAGGCCTTCATGACACTGTTGTTGGTGTCCATGGGCTATGCATATATGTATATACTAAATTCTTTGGTTAATCTCTTCCCAACCCACCTCCTCCTCCCTTCCCTCTGAGATTTGTCAGCCTGCTCCATGCTTCCATGTCTCTGGACCTATTTTGCTCATCAGTTTATTTTGTTCATTAGATTCCACATATAAGTAAAATCACATGGTATTTGTCTTTCTCTGACTTGCTTATTTCACTGAACATAATCATCTCCAGGTCCATCCATGCTTACAGCTGCATAGTATTCCATGGTGTAAATGCACCACAGCCTTTTTATCCACTCATCTGCTGATGGGCACTAGAGCTATTAGTGTTTTAATAAAAGGTCTTCTTCTACCCAGAGCCGTGGTGTCATCACCTTATTTCTTTTCCATTCCCGTGATGCAGGAAGCAACCAGTTAGGCCCCATATATGGCCACACGTCCGTGATGATGGGGAGCCTGCTGGATGATCACCACTGGCACTCCGTGGTCATTGAGCGCCAGGGCCGGAGCATTGACCTCACGCTGGACAGGAGCGTGCAGCACTTCCGCACCAATGGGGAGTTCGACTACCTGGACTTAGACTATGAGGTGAGCTTGAGGACATATACACTGTGATCAATGTCGAGTGGCTGCCTCCATCTCCCACTTGTATTATTGTTAATTTTGTGCCTTCCTCACCATTTTCATTTTATTCTCCAAAGAAAAATTAACTTATAATTTCAAAACCTAGTTTATTAATGTACGTCATTTTATTCTTTTATAAATTTCAAATAATAAATATTTGAAAAATTTTTAAAATCTTGGTGCCAAAGTAACAATTTGAAGAGAAAGAACATCTATCATGTTATCAGGATTACTTAACAAGTCCTGAATAAATTTAAGTTATAATCTTTCCATTTCTTATTCATTATAATGTGAATTACACTATTTTACTTCATAATACACAGTATTATAAACAAAGAGTTGCCTAATATTTATTACCAAATATTGAATAAGAAATCCTGAGTTCTGATTTATATTAAGCCATTTATAAACTTATGACTATTAATCGTTCTTTTGACAGGTTCTATTTTCTCAGATATAATTGTCACTAAAGCAATTGAAATAGATAATATTTTTAAAAAATTGTCCTTAAATAAAAATGGCTATTTCTTATCCTCCAAATGATCAAAGATTTAAAAAGCTATGATATTGGTCTAATAAAATTATATATTCTCATAATATACTGGTAGGCATACCAGGTATTTTAATAAAGTATTTGGAGAGCAATTCAACCTTTAAATGTCCATTCAAAAATGTTAATCATATATAGTAATAAGAGTTCTGTAAGAACATAATAATCACAGCATAATGTATTCTATGAGAAAAGGGATAATGCTAAATGAACAAGCAACGCAAAGCAGTAAAATAAGCAGGATGAAATATTAATCAGCCAGAGGCTTATGAACTTCTTAATTCATGGAACCCTTGGTGTCTTATTAACTTTCCACAGCCATCCATGACCCTTCTATAGTGGTTAGACCCGAACAACTTAATAAATGTTTATGCCCTAAGAATACAGTGGCCATTTAAAAAAAACACATATAAAATGAAAGGTCAAATTATAATTTTATTTTATTCTTACGATATTAATTATTTACTAACAAGAGGCCTGGTGCATGAAATTTGTGCACAGGATGGGGATGTACCTCAACCTGGCCTGCACCCTCTCTGATCTGGGTCCCCTCGGGGGATATCTGACTTCCGGTTTAGCAGTCAGACTTCCCTCTCACAATCTGGGACTGCTAGCTCCTAACCACTCCCCTGCTGGCCTGATTGATGCCTAACTGCTCCCCTGCCAGCCTGATCACCCCCAACTGCCCTCTCCTGCTGGCCTGGTCACCCCCAACTGCCCTCTCCTGCTGGCCTGGTCGCCCCCAACTGCCCTCCCCTGCTGGCCTGTTCACCTCCAACTGCCCTCCCCTGCTGGCCATCTTGTGGCAGCCCTCTTGTGACAATGTCATGCAAGGGTGTTGTGTGAGGGTGTGATGCTACCTAGGCTTTTATAATATAGGATGTTATTGGAAAGTAGAAGATGGTTCCCCCTTGTCCATTGAAGTACCTGGGTAGGATTTTAGAAAGAATCAATTGCATGGAATGAAAAGCCTGGGTTTGAATCCCTTTCTGCCCTTTCTTTACTGGTTGTGTGACAGTGGTGAAATCATGCTCACCTTCTATAAAATGAATATAATGGCACATTTATTATAGGGTTATTTGAGGAGGCAACAGGGAGTAAGAGAAACCACCATATATGTCAGTTATACTTCATTAGACTACACATGAAAAAAACCTATGTTTATTCTCTTTCATACAAAAGGAGCCCCTAGGCAGGTAGCCCTGGGCTCAAATGGCGGCATCACGGTCATCAAGACCCCATCCCTCCTCTTGCTACTCCTCCTCCCCACTGCAGATCACTCCAAGGTTGCTACTCATTCCGTGTTGCTTTCCAGCCAGCGGGAAGGAGAGAGAGGGAAGGAAGGTGAACTATAGTTCTTGGAGTCACACACAGACCTTTCATTTAAATCTCATGAGACCAAAACTTGCTTCAAAGCGGTTGGTAAATGCCACCATTGGACAGGGAGCAATGTGTGGAACTGAAAAGCATTTTTTTCCTCTAAAGAAAGTTGAGAGAAAGGACACTTAGAGGTATTTAATAGTCTGCCACACTTTATAAATCTTGGTAGCTAACAAGATGGTTAATGCAGCTGTTTTTCAGAGTAATCCTTGAATAGCAATGTCAGTGATAAGTCAGTCATATGATGCATATGAATATCTGATGATTAATAACTGCAACAGTTTTTAATATCAGAATAGTTACAATTTCAGAAAGTATTTTGTGGTCCAGCCACTTTATTTTACTGATGAGACTACAAAACCAGAAAGAAGGGATTAGTTACATTCTCATATCATTAGTTGCATTAGGAACTGGGATTGGAACCTGCATCTCTTAGTTGTAAGGAGCCTGGTAAATTGAGCCCTCGATGCTTCCTTCACCCGAGCACCTTCCATAAGGTAGGACGTGTGCCAAGGGTAGCTGAAAGCAGAGAAATGAGGAGTGTTTGAATCAGCCTCCCAAAGGAAAACGAAAACCCTAGATAAGCTATGCACACAGAGAAGGAATCAAACAACACTTACAAACTGGGGTTGAGGTATATTTCAATATGTGATATTTTGTTGAAGATTTCAGCATCTATGTTCATCAGGCCTATATATTTTTTTCTTTGTAGTATCTTTATCTCATTTATGAATTAGGATAATGTGGCCTCATAAAATGAGCTTGGGAGTCCTCCTTCTTCTTGAATTTTTTGGAAAAGTTTGAAAAGGATAGGTGTTATTTTTTTTATGAATGTTTCATAAAATCCATCCCTGATCATAGTATTTCATGAAATGAGCTGCATCCCTGACTTTGAATTTATATAGTATTTCAAATCTTTATAATAAAGTGTTCTCTTTTGCCTAAGCCAAAAGAAATGTGGTACTGCATGTCATTCAGCGTAAAAGATTTTATTACTATCAACTAGGGAAGAAATTGATAAAATAAATTATAGATAGGAAATTAAATACTTCTTTTAAGTATCAATAATTCTTACCCTTGGTGTTAGGTAAACCTATATATACCTAATAAGTTCAGCTCGATGCTACTTAAAAACATTGTTTTTCAATAATTCTATGATCTTGGTTATTCTCAATTTTTCCTTTTGTAATTTTCTAATTTTTAAATATATTATCAGTTTTCCTCTTTTCTTCCTGTATATAAACTTTACGATAAATGATATATAGCTAACCATTATTTTCAATTTATTAAGTGAGTTATTCTGTTTTTTTTTGTATTATCTCATAAGCTATCAATGATTTATGGCTTATGAGATAATATAAATCTAATCAGACATTTAAAATGACATGTTGTTAAATAATGGAACATAATTGTCTAATGGCCTCCTAGCACACAAAGATCTTTGCCTTATGTATCAAATATGAAGTCTTGACATTTAAAAACTTTTGTTTTCAAAACTTTGTAAGAAAAATTGATGATAACACTGAGTGATAATTAATCATATAATATATATTATATATCATGATATTACATCTATGATTAGTAGATTCATTTATTACCAATTAATTATTAGCAATGCATAAGTAAGTCTAATTTTTATTATATGATAATGATATTACAGTGCTGTAATTTGACCAAAGATATATGGAAAACACATAATCTTTTTTTATAGGCAATAGTAGCTAGAGATTCACAGGAATAAATAGTGACCTTCTTCCTTATAATTTAAAAGACCTATAATATCTATAAGCCTGTACTTGTCAAGTTACAGCCCCTAAATTCTAAGATGTTCCTACTCAATACAGTAATGAGACTTCCTGAACTATTTTCTCTATTCACCATAAGTCTAATGAATGTTTGACTTTAATGGACATTAGACTACAATAAGTTTATGCCAGGTAAATACAATATTCCTTGCTTTTGGCTGCAGTATTATCAACTTATATATTAGTGTTGATTATCTCATGATGACTAGAGGCATTTATTGATAGTATGTCTTTGAAGGATAAACATAAAAATGTATTTTAATATTACTTAATACGTTTGCTGTGTAGTGTTTTAAAACATTCTCAGGATAAATTATAAAATGCCTTTTGGGTAGCAAAAACTCAAGGGATTATTGCTATTTTCTTGTTCAAGTTATAATCTAATTGTCAGAATTAATAACACTATTATGCACTTCAATAACAACAAAAATTTAAATATAATAGATTTGGAGACAGAAAAAATGTCTGTATATATTGGTTGATGTAAATATAACAGACCTTGCCTGTATTGATAGTTCTGTCTCATTAAATGTGAATGTTATTTTTTTGCGTCGAATACAGTATGAATGTTTTGTTGTTTTTTTCTCAAAGATCACCTTTGGAGGCATACCTTTCTCTGGTAAGCCAAGTTCCAGCAGTAGAAAGAATTTCAAAGGTTGCATGGAAAGCATTAACTACAATGGCATCAACATAACTGATCTTGCAAGAAGGAAGAAGCTGGAGCCTTCAAATGTGGTAAGATCTTTGACCCCAGAAATATTGGTTCTTACAAAAACCACAGAACTTGCATTTTCTATGGACTATTGTATAACAACATCATAGCATTTTTTGTCACACTTAAGTTGGGCTCAACAGTATAGAACTGACTTTAGAATTACCAATGTGTGGATCCTGGATGTACTCTAAAAATGAATACTGGATTTTGAGTTGAATTAGCTGGAAATAGATGGTGAGTTTTATTGGTAAAAGTAAAAATGTAAAAATAATAATTGGTGAAGGTACAGAGCAAACTTAATTTTAATATTAATTCAGAGAGAGTCTGCCATAGATTTAATAGTTAATGTGCTGAAGTGAAAGAACTATGCATCTAGAGATAGATAATGGTGTTGTGTAAAAAAAAATTGTAGGGCCAGTTAAAAATATAAAATCATATTCCTCAGAATATTATGGTGGGATCAAAGAAGCTGAGAACAAATGTAGATTTTCAGATCTTTAAAAGGAAGGTACTTAGACCCTGGAATATAAAATTTAGTGTATACCAATATAAAATTCAGTATATCAAATTTGTGTGTACAAAATAGGGGGATTATGAGATAGAAGGAGTAGTTTTGCAATTTTTGTTTTAATTTTGTACATTCATGTCACTGTTTCCATAAGCATTAATTCATTATTATGTAAGCACAGTTCATGGGAATTTCAGTGGGATTTTGAGTTGAATTAAAAAAAATAATCTGAAATAATCAAAACTATGCTGATACTAAATAATTAAAATTTATATATAAGTATGGGTGTAAAACCCAAGGTCATTTGCTCCAGAATATCAGTTTAATAATTAGCAACCAAATGACCATGATTCCCACTGAGACCAGTAATATAATAATAGCCATCTGAATAGGACATCCAGAAGAAGACAGAGGCATCACCTCCCCAGCTGATGCATCATTAATTAGGGGGAGAGAAGCAGGTTTTTGCTGTCTCCAGAGAGTCCATTCTGAAGCTCTCAAAAATGCACAGCCCATCCCCTGGTCATCCCATCACAGCAGGCTGCCTATCAATTTCATGATGGATTGTGCTTGTTACATCCAAACTTGATGACTAACTTCTGCACCTTGTTAGGCATACACTCCTAGTAGACTCACGTCAAGGTATCCAATTGCTGAATTCAAGTCAGCCTACTACATGTGATAGTTTGGGGCAGGCTAAAGCCCTGCTTTGAAATATGTAGAATTATAGCTTTGTCTACTGTCTTCCATGGATCCTTATTTTATTCTGCATTTTCCTCAAAGAATGCCCTTCTGTTTTACAGGGAAACCTGAGTTTCTCCTGTGTGGAGCCCTACACGGTGCCGGTCTTTTTCAATGCCACCAGTTACCTGGAGGTGCCTGGACGGCTCTACCAGGACCTGTTTGTGGTCAGTTTCCAGTTCAGGACTTGGAACCCCAATGGCCTCCTGCTTTTCAGTCACTTTGCAGATAATTTGGGCAACGTGGAGATTGACCTCACTGAAAGCAAAGTTGGTGTTCACATCAATGTCACGCAGACCAAGATGAGCCAAATAGACATTTCCTCAGGTCAGTAAAATCTCCTGATGTTTGCTCCTGAAACTGCTGAGGCGATTTCCGCAGATAAAGTTGCATTTGTTTGGTTTGGTTTGGTTTGGTTTGGTTTGGTTTGGTTTGGTTTGGTAGGTGTTACATGCTGGTGGTTATATTTGGATCCAGTCTGAGATTCTTTCTTGGTTGCCCTGAGTGCTGTTTGAATAAGGGAAACTTGGAACCTTACTGAGAAGGTGAGGGGTGGGCGAGGAGAAAAGTTGGTTGGACTGTCTTAGGGCACCAAAATCTTCTATTTCTTATAAATGCTAATTCCTATTTAATGGAGAAATTGATATTTCTTTAAGTGAATATTTTATCTTCTATTTCTTATAAATGCTAATTCCTATTTAATGGAGAAATTGATATTTCTTTAAGTGAATATTTTATCTTTATTTACAATTAGTAATGGGATTATAATAATTTAATTATGACTTCAAAGGTCTATTCAACCACCTGAATCAAAACTTCAAAGGATTTTGTTAAATTTGTGCAAATGTTCAGGGAAAAAAGCAAACAGGAGTGCGTACAACATGCATGTATCAACCGAGGAGGGTGCTTTTTAAACTTGACATCACAGTGGCATGATAAACTGACACTTAGGTAACACTGTTGTTACCTGAACAGACATAGCAACCTTGGAATATTCTTTGAGTAATGTGGTACAAAGAAAGTTGAAATTGCAAAGTGAGATATTCTAAACAAAGAAAAATTCGACGTGTTATGGGAGTGATAAGCAGTAAAATGTTCACACAGTTTCACTAGATGTTTCTAGCAGTGGTTGTGTTTGTTTTGTAAAGCACTCCCTAGGTGACAGAGAAAACTAATGTTTCTGAGCACCTTGGACAGATGTACAAAACACAGAGAGGAGGTTCATGACCGAGTGCTCAGCTGCATGACTGCAGGCCTGGAGGCTAGACTTTCCAGGTTCACTGGTGACGCCATATGCATACCCCTGACACTGTTCCTAACAGGTCATATTATTTGTGTTCAGCTCACTCCCCTCTGTGTGGTCAGCTCTTTGAGGGCAGTACCCAGGCCTGTTCTATCGCTGGCATGTAGAACAGCACTTATAACAGAAGAGGTGTCCTGGGGAATGCTTGTCAAGTTCAGCACAGTGGCCCTTTGATCCCGTGTTCACTAACAGGGTGTCTTTTGCAGCAGGATCTATGTCTTTTTTTTTTGTGTTTCTGTATGGACTGTTGCTGAAAAGAATTCAAGGAAGACATAGTGACCATTCTGTAAGAGGTGTTTCTGAAATCAAAGGCTGGTGTGAACTACCTAGATGTTTACTTTTTCAGTTTTTGCTTTGTTAGTTGTGCTTTTTCCCCTGAATGTTCCAAGTCAAAATGATTGATCAACCATATTTTATCACTACTTCCCAGTACAAATTCACTTGGGGAGATTTAGTAAATAGAAAATATCTGGAGAGATCAGTATAGCACATAAAACAAATACACAAATAAATATTTACCACACTTGGAACACTCACTAAATCCTGTCATGATTCATGGCTCTTTTCTAGTGACGAACCACATAAAAATATGTAGCAAGGCCTCCCTCCTGGAGTGCTCTTAACAAATCCAACTTCCTGAGACTATTATAATGGAAAGAATAGGATCTTAAACATAGTGATCAACAAACAGTTACTAATTGAATTTGGTCTAATTTAGGACTCCAAGATACTCTCATCTAATTTAAACTGTGTTTATTAAAAAATAAAGAATAAAGAAATCCAACACTTAACAACTAATATATCTTAATAGATTTGCTTAAGTGTGATAAAATTGGTCTTTAGAAATTTCTGTCAATTTAGCCAATTATCCATGCAAATTAAGGGAAACTGGTATGAAATCTAAATATTTCTATAGTCTCCCTCTTATATATTGTAATGAAAATACCTTAGTGTTTCAGATCACTGCTGTGTTTTTTCCTATACATGTAGTAAAAACTGAGATCGCATCAGATATCATTGCTCAAGTTTGAGAAATTTTAGTAAGTAAATAAATACACATACATTTTTAAAAAGTTGAATCCTGTACTCATTAAAATTGTGTTTATTAAAAAGCAAAGGAAAAAAGGGAATCCAATATGTTATAACTCCATTCATTCATCCTACAAATATATAGAGTGTGCATAGAACACAATTTTCATATGTATTTTAATGCATCTTACCAAATTCAATTAAATGTAAAAGTAACTTAGTGTAAGTAGCAACAATGAAAAAATAATTTAGAGAAATAAGTTACCTTTAGATGTACTCTAATAATTAGGATGTTTTCTTTTTCTCTCCAATTAAAAAAATTGCCACTAAATGATTTCATGATCTAAAAACAAGTGGTGACCACAGTTTGGAAAACACTAACCTACAGATTTGTCTCCTCAATTGAACTGTGGGAATTTTTTAAAGTTCTAGTGATGCCATTATAATAACCTGGTTATTATTTAACAGGAAAAGAACAAAGGGGAGACTAAATGATATAGACATACCATTTATACAGCTTTGCCAGGAAGCTGCAGTTTAACACTCCCCAGGTCTATTCCCTGCAAATAAATGGGCGAAGGGACTGGGCAATAGATACGTGCCCAGTGAGGTCTGGGTGACATGGGAAGAGGCTTATCCATCAGTCACACCTGGGAATAGTCAGTGGCCAGAATAGGCATGGCCACTGCAAGGACGTAAGATTGAGACAGTTAATTCCTGAACACAGAGAGCTTTCTCTCTCAGCTCTCCTGGCTCTTGTGCTTTTGGCCCTCTTGCTCTTTTGGGACTCCTGTTGCAGGGGTGCACTCCCTGCGTTCACCCCCCTGTCTCATGGCCATGTGGGGCCCACACAGTGGGCGGTGATTAGCCTGATGCTACATCAGACTCAGCTCTACCATGGAATAGAAAGTCTGGGCACTGACCCTACTTTTGGCTCTACTGAATCCCAGCTGCACATTTTCCAAGCCTGAAATAAGGGACATGGAACTTTGCAAATCAAGAAATGTAACTGTATACAAATAAAAACTATTTATTCACCTGTATGAACCTTACAAAATTATTTTTCTGAAGATATCACAAGAACCCCACTCCCACTAGTGAGAGAGGAATTCCACCCACCCAATCCTCTAGCAACATTCGTTGCTCAGGGGGATTTACTGTATCATTTTATATATCGGAAAACTAAAGGTGCCTTTCAGGAACAAATTATGATACAGTGGGGCCTTGACTTACGAGTTTAATTCGTTCCGTGACGGAGCTCATAACTCAAATTACTCCTATGTCAAATCAACAGTGAACGAGTGAGACACATGATGCTGGGCTGATGTTGTGGCGTTCACTGTGACATTCGCTGCGCCAACTAGTGGTGGGGTATCTGAAGCTGGCTCATAGCCCGAATTTTAGCTCGCAACTCAAAGCAAAAAATCGGCCGAGAGATGGCTCGTATCTCAAAAACCTCGTTAGTCGGGACACTCATAAGTCAAGGCCCCACTGTATTATAATAGTAGTAAGAAAGTAATCCATGTGTATTATTGTCTGATGTAGCCAAAAGGAAGGGAAAAAAAAGAGGAAAAAAAACTCTGAAATACTAGTAAGATTTTTTTTTATCATAAAATGCCTTAATTTTATGCCACTAAATCACAAATCGATGTTTAGAATAATACTCTAAAGTTGTGATCAGCTGAGAAGAATAAGGTCATAAAATGTGATTCAGCATTTATATAGTGGAAGGAAAGTTAATTCTATTAATGACTTTTCTCACCTATTTAAAAAAAATCAATTTCCATCCATGTAAACAAAGCCTTTCAGAAAAATCATTTAGCTTCTGCCCTGTTTCTAAATCAACCATTTGCTACTAGTAAGCTGAAATATTCAAACCTCCTTGTTTTGTTCAGGTGGACATTGCTTCATTTTAGAATGACTTTTCTGCATCCCTACTGCACTGGACAGTTGTACTCAGCAAATATCACCTTTGTTTGTAATTCTACCTCCAAAGAGAATCTGTGTGTGTGTGTGTGTGTGTGTGTGTGTGTGTGTGTTTTGTTTGTTTGTTTTTTGTTTGTCAACCTTTGAGTCCCATTTGGGTGTGTTAAGGGAAAGCAGCTTAGTCTCTGGGCTGTCCTAGTAAAAAAGCATAACGGGTGCTTTGTAAACAACAGGCATTTGTTTCTCATAATTCCAGAGGCTGAAAGCCCAAGGTCATGGCAGTAGCATGTTCGAATTCTGGGGAAGGCCGTTCTCCAGGTTTCAGACTGGGGACTTGTTGCTGTGTCCTCACCTGGTGGAAGGGGCTAGGGACCTCTATGGTGCCTCCTTTGTAAGAGTACTGATCCCATTCATGAGAGCTCCACCCTCATGACCTAATAACCTCATGAAGGCCTCACCCTCTCCTACCATCACACTGAGCATTAGGATGTCAATCAAGTTGAACCTTAAATAACATAGGTTTAAGCTCTGCAGGTCCACGTATATGTGGATTTTTATCCAGTAAATACTGTAAGTGTGTCTTTTTCTCCTTGTGATTTTTAAAATACTATTTTCTTTTCTCTAGCTTACTTTATTATAAGAATACAGCATAAATACATAAACATACAAAATATGTGCTCATTGAATGTCTGTTATCAGTAAGGCTTCCAGTCCACATTAGGCTATTAACAGTTAAGTCTTTTGCGGAATCAAAAGTTATATGTGCTTTGTTGACTGCATGGGGGGTTGGTGCCTCTAACCCAGGGGTCCTCAAACTTTTTAAACAGGGGGCCAGTTCACTGTCCCTCAGACCGTTGGAGAGCCGGACTATAGTTTAAAAAAAACTATGAACAAATTCCTATGCACACTGCACATATCTTATTTTGAAGTAAAAAAACAAAACGGGAACAAATACAATATTTGTATTTGCATGTGGCCCGCGGGCTGTAGCGGGCTGTAGTTTGAGGACCCCTGCTCTAACCCATATGTTGTTCAAGGGCAAACTGTATATGAATTTGGGAAACATAAA